TATGTAAATCGCCCTGTAAAATTGAAAAAAAAAAAAAAAAAAAAAAAAAACTCCGTGGATTTCCACATCTTGGAAGCAGGTCACTATTTTCGCACTTGCATAGTCAAATACCGTCCTCCCTCGCCTTTATGCTCTTACTGTTTCAAAAAAGGGTAGTTATTACCCTCAATATGTAGATTAGGAAGGGGCATGTAAACCCTCATCCTAATGTTTTCTTACATCCCTCTATCACCAGGAAAGGTTATGATTCAAAAAAAAAAAAAAAAAAAAGTATATTCCCACCACACCAGTAGATGCAGACTTGGTAAGTGTTCCCTGATTCCATGATTGTACCTGATCGTCAACAGAAGACTCAAGCACGAAGGTACGTACATATAAATTCAAATGTTCGAAATCACCCCGTCAGCGGATGCAACCTTGAAAAATCTTCCCAGTGTCGACGGAACCACTTAATCATCAACAGGCGATTCAAGTAGCAAGGTACGTACCTAACCTTATACACCTACTCAAATAATTGTCTAATTATCGCCCACTGTAGCATTCTTTATCTCCAATCTATATACACGATATCTTTTCCAGCTGTACCATCTTTCACAAGGTATGCTCACTAAGAAGCCACAAATATCTCCACTAAAGTCCTCATCCGCCATAACCAAGACTGATCTTGTCACTGATTCAAAGATCTGCCAAAATTCGTAACTCGGCATTGGTTCCGTAAAACTCGTGCACTTAAAAAAAGAAAAGAAAAAAAAAAGAACTGTAGTTGTGCCTCACAACCTTGGTAATCCATGGTTGTGCTATGAGAGAATAACAAAGATTAAAACCACATGGAAAACTCAGAAGAAGATGCCTTGAGCATTAATATCACGGCGTACAACATCTCCTCCTCCAGCAACCCAACCCTTCCACTCAATACGCCACTCAGATTGAGGTACACAATCCTACTAGTTCTATCTTTATATATTAAACTCTATGCCCCGTACGTCGGTACGGAGTCCCTCCTTGGGCAGAAATTACCCCAAGGCCAAACCCACATGTTTCTCTAAGAAAATTTCGAATGGTCTACGCCTAGATTATGGCCCAAATGCAGCCTTCTGTACCTAAGCTAGAACCAATATCAATTTTTCACGGCGCATCGCCGCGCGAAACGTAAAAATAATAAAATAATAAAATTTATTTGAAAGGTTATGATAAGGACCCGAAAAAGGCGGAAAAACAATGACACCATCAGCTCAGTGTCTCTCAGTCGTACTTCGGCACCTGTGTCCGAGTTACTACTGAGTTGGATTTCTTGTCCTGCGTTGCGATATGCGTCTTCAGGCAATATATGAGAATCGACAGCCACCGATTCCTTACACAGATCTGCAGCTTCTTGCCGAGTTACTTGACCGACGTGTTTCTCTGCTCCTCATTACAAGACAAACGGCCACCTCATGCCATGTACACAGTAGATAGCGGTTGTCGCTCTGTCTTTCAAAACGTGTTTCCAACGACGCCTGCCAGCGGCTCCCAGAGTTGGGGACCCTCCCTCCTTTTCATCCATTTGAGACCCTTGGTGACTACCTTCCGGGGGTAGTCCAATTTCCTAAGCTCAACAGCAAGCGTAAGGACGCCCAGACATATCGTCTCTTCGTCATTGCAGTTCCGAGAGATCCTAAGAATGGTGTTGGCCACAACCGCGAATTTTGCGTTTCTAGGCCTAAATGAGTCGAACTCTGTGTATGTACGATACTTTAGTGGGTTTTGGGACCAAATGGTCCCTGCATTTTTGAATTTGTGAGCAGATAATATGTGAGCCCTTGTTTCTGATACAATTAGCCTGGTCTCCAGAAAATCCAAAATCCAAGCCCCAGAATCAGTTCTAGATCCTCCGGATAGCACCTTGTAATCTGGTTCAGCCGGGCATTGGCCTTTGCCAGTCCTTCTGGGTCCCCCTTTTTGAAGAAAGAAATGATTAATAAATCGTCGATGTACTGCTTCCCAGAAATTAACTTACTATCAGCCCCAAGTGAGCTGATGAATTTGTATTCTGAGAACATGCACATTACACAGGCAAGTGGCGGAATAGCACTGCCGCCCAATGGGATTCCCTGCTTCTGTGCGAGAACTGCATCAACCACCCAAAACACCGTGTTATCAAATTGAAATCGAGTTAGCAGTGGCAGTTTGCTAAGGCGAAACAATTTCCACCCAGGCTCCCCATGGGATTTCCCAAATGTGGCACACCGCTTCTTGCTGTTGATCCGGATCCACCGGATACCTTGGGCTGAGAACTGCTGTATCAGCCATTCGACTGCCTGGTGAATTACATCGTGAGGCAGTTGAGAGAACATTTCTTTTATATCGAAGGTCCCTGCTACAAGTCCCAGCAACGGGTCTTCACCTTTTTTGTTCACTTTTGCGATCTCCAAACGCAGATCGCCGATTGTCCGTAGGTTGAAATGCGGATTTTTCACTCGTTTAATCAATTCATTGAGAACAATCGATAGCATGCCCGACGCAGACCGGAAAGGACTTTGGAAAGAAGGGACTATAAGTCTCCTTTTTTCTTTGTCCTTCTCCTTAGCCATTATATAGGCATACTGCAGTTTGCCGAGTCTGTCCCAACTAGCGATTTCTGCTAGGCCAGCCTTCACATACCGCGTCTTCATTTCCAACAAGATTTTTCCCTTATTGATATTGACCCTCTCATAGTTGTTATTACTCAGAAACATTTTTTGCAAGCCTTGCTCGTACTGTTTGGGACATTCAATCCAAGTTTCAGTTGGGTTGCGGTCCAATGGGGCAAGAACAATGCCTTCAAATGCTTGCTTAATTCCCAAAACAAATTCGGTCAATACACACCCTGGTCGCATGGTTTCTCATTTCCTACTCACCGAGTTGAGGTGAATCCTCACCATTTCGGAAACCAGACTTGTTTTACGAAGCCCATCCAGCGCCTCGTTGCAAGCTTGGTTGAGGCACTCCCTGCTAACCACCGAACCTCGAAACGGAATATTTTTCGCATTATGCAGAAATGACTTGATACTATCCACCTCACTGAGCTTAACGGCGACATGCCCATTAGTTTTGGGCAAGTCGAAACCTTCGCACACGCAGTTGAATTCACTGTTCTGTGCGAAGCGTTTCTGATTATGTAAAAGATCGCCAACCGACTTCGCTTTTAGCCAAACGGTGCGAGTCCTTTTTACATACACGTCAGCCAGCGGTTTTGGTAAAATGTGATCGCTTATCCAGTTCTTTACGGAGTCCTCAACTTTCTGTTTGTCAATAGAGGTACAAAAGGGAATTTTTACAGTCACAGAAGCCCGATGATTGATACCAAAATATTTTTTACAGACATTAGTAAGAAGTCAACGGACAATCTGACGCCCACGGTGTTGATTGACGGTCTTTACCGCATTATTCAGTTCAAGTAGCTCCTCTAGACTCTTATTGAACAAATCCCTTCGTTTCCAAGGCGCCTTTAAGAGTGAGATCAATTCAACCTTTTTTTGTTCAGTCTTTGTCTGGGTGCGGATTAATTCGGTAATTACCCATTCCCCGCCAGTTTCGATAGCATTTTTGACATCAAGTAAAAGAAGATTTTCATCATGCATTTTAATCTTCATGTGCCCATACAACAGAACACAGAGACGCCATGCTTTCAGCCATCGAGCACCAGTATTGTTCTTCATTCCGATCATCCTAGTCATCTTTCTTTTTGACAAGGTTTTTAGCACACGAAGAAGATCAGGCTCATTGCATATATTAGCATCCTTGCAAGAGAATAACAGTGGTTCCAACATTTGGACAGGGGTTAGTACATATGTTCTTTTTCGGCACGGGGATCTTCGTTTCCTTCCACGTTTATTTTTTCCACGTGATTTCAGACCCAGATTGAATCCTTTAATCGTGGTCAGTTTCCAAAGCAGCATTGTTACCAAACCAAATTGGGATAGGGACATATGCAGTAGTGCCTACTTTTCTCAGCCATGAATGCACGTTCTGCTTGCTATTCCCGTTCGCAGATCTGCAATGCTCCCCCCATCGATCGTGCAATGATCTAACTGTTTTTCCGACGTACACTAGCTTGTGATTGAGTGACATCAGCACATATACACAGCTGCTCGCGTCGAGTATTATATTCCAATCGCTCTTCGGAAGCGCCAGCCACAGACCCACATACGCATTACCCCACTTGATATCCCCTTGCAGGCAAGCTAAGAGGATGATTAGGACGTGAATCTGATCAAGGATCACCCTTACAGACTTCATGACGACATGTTTCAAGGCGACAATACGGGCAGCGGCCCGTCTTAAGGAGCGCACGCTACATCCCTTCAGTTTCCCTTTACTGCATTTGCTTCGGTAGCAGATGCGTGCTCATTGGTGCTGATGCGTTGCTTCCGGGAGCATTCGTCGTTCCGTCCCACACTCAAAGAGTCCGTGTATTCCTGCAGATCGATTCGAGCGAGCTCCCAGGCTCCCATCTCTTTCCTAAAATACTGCACATTCTTCTTTTTGCACAGTTCCTGCACTCTTGTGTAGTGCAATGAGCTATAGTACTCCAGGCGAATCTTCATGTATGCAGCTAGTCCACCGTCGTCAGTTTCTTCATCGTCCTCCGCATTGGCATTCTAAACCACGTCAGTGTCCTCCTCCTCTCCCATGGCAACTGGGGGCGAGGACTGTGGCTCCACAACCTTCTCCTTCCCTTTGGGGTTGCTCGACCCTTGGAGGAGTGCAGCAAGCATTTGCTTAATGTCCGCCAGCTCGCTGGAACTTTCCATCTTTGGTTCAAGGTTTTGCTTCACGCCAGCCACCCCTTCGTCATCCGATATCTCAATGCGCTTCGGACGCATCTTCGTACTAGGACGCGATCTGGGCGATCTGGACTTAACCCTCGCGGCGGAAGGTGAGTTCTCCACCGGTGTGCGGACCCCCATACACTTCCTTTTTTCGATGTTGGACTCCTTGCTCCCCTTCTCTGCTTTGTCCTTATCCGTACGCAACTTTTCCAGACGAAGCTGCTCCAATTCCGCACGTTCGTTGGTCGTCATCTTCGCCTACTGGTCCACCTCCTCGAGTTTCTCATTGATTAGTTTCAGTGAGCTCCCGAGGGTGGAGGTGACCCAAGCTTTCATATCGTCACTCTTTGCGCTTGGACGTGTCTCTGAGCGGCTTTCTTCATCAGGAAGCTCTACTATCTTCACGCCGCTCTTCTTCTGCACTCCCATCTTCTTCTTGGCTTGATCGAGCACTTTCTCGATCTTGATTCCCTCTAGGATTTCCATATATTCCTTGGTGAAATAAGCACGATTCTTAGGACCTGGGAAATTGTTAGCAGCTGGTCCTTTTCCCCTTCCTTCGGTTGAAGGTTGTCCTGCACCAAGAGCGTTGTGATTGCTTGCTTGCGGATGCCCAGCGAATACTGGAGCCGGTGCTGGCGCCGATACGTGGACAGGTACAGGACCTAGTGCGGGATGCGCCTGAGTCATCCATTGCCCGCCTTGCCATGGATTGACTGATGGCCACTGTTGAGCACCCCACGCCGCTTGATACGGCACTTGGTACGGCGGAGGCATACTTGTCGGTTGAAAAGTTGCCGGAGGTATATTCGCACCCGTGTATGCTGCGTACTGAGGATGCGCCGACACTCCAGGAGGCACACCTGGTGGTAGCGGGCTAGATGCCGCATTTCCTCCTGGATACTGTGTAACATGCGGTGGCTGTTGGTTGGAGGTGAAACCGCTGTTCTCCATCCAATAGCGGCCGCAGTGAGACCACCTCCCTTTCCTACTATTCACCTTCCCAGACCTCTCCCTCACGTACATGCGAAATAATACACACAACGAGGTAATGCAGATTCCTACGGCAACACCATCCCCGAACTCGAGATGGCCAGCTTGTGCCGATTCAATCGATATTGAGGTGGCGATGGTCCTAGCGACCATGCCACCCGGGGGACTCGTCGCACTGAACAGCTTCACTTGAGTCCGGATTGCACACCGCTCTCTGCGGGTGCCGCGTTCCTACGAACCTCGATTGGACAAACGGCCGCCCACTCTCCGTTATGCTACGTCACACAAGACGCGACGAGCACGATAATAGCGCCTCGTGTCAGCTGTCCCTCCGTTCTTATCGTAGCGGAATCGTGTATATACGCATCACCCGTTGCGCACCATGCCACCGCACCTTCTAAGCTGCTGATCACGATACTTGCACACTCTGGTTAATCCAGGTTCCTTGTAACGGAAGTGCGTGTACGACGCGCGAGAGCCTTCAATCCCGGAATTGTCCCTCTTCCCACAAATGGTACAACGTAGAGTGGGAAATAACGGAAAGAGTAGGTGGTGAAGAACAAACGTGCTTCGTCGTCATTAGATAAGACGGGAACCCGATAATATATGAAATGAGATTATCATCCCTTTCAATGAACATACACGGCCATAATTGAGCCTAAATGAACATAGAATAAGCATAAATGAGCATAAATGAGCCTTAAATAGCATAAATGAGCATAAATGAGCATAAATGAGCATAAATGAGCATAAAATAGCAAGCATGAATCTACCGTAGTAGAAGCTACCATAGTAGAAACGGCGCCTTGGTCGCGTTCCCGAGCCACGACAGGGTCGTAACTAAGGTTGTAGTCCATGAGATAATAACAAAGATTAAAACCACATGGAAAACTCAGAAGAAGATGCCTTGAGCATTAATATCACGGCGTACAATATCTCCTCCTCCAGCAACCCAACCCTTCTACTCAATACGCCACTCAAATTGAGGTACACAATCCTACTAGTTATATCTTTATATACTAAACTCTATGCCCCGTACGTCGGTACGGAGTCCCTCCTTGGGCATAAATTTTTACCATGGTTGTGCTATACCTACCATTTTTTACACTATGCCACTGCAACCAGCCTCGACCACCTTTCTCAAGTTATGACCACGGCAACTACTATTACGCAGGTATTTCCCTTAAAAAATATTGCCATTATCCAAAGTCAATCCGTCAAAAAAAAAAGGAAAAAAAAAAAAGAAGTTAAATAAAGATATATATATCAATGACAAATAACCTACATCCTCATTTTAACAGATGCGATCATCATCTCCTTCAAGATAACTGTTTTTACCGAACGGCTTAGACGCCTCTCACCTTTGTATGAAAAAAAAATTAAGAAAATAGGGTGATTATCATCACTTACTCTAATCCCGGGATTTTATTATGAGAGAACCCTTCTAACTCACTACCTTTCGTCTACTTGATCGGTAAATCTTACACAACTTACTATACTTCTAAGTATATGTTTTACCCTCCCCTTAGTTTAAAAAAAAAAAAAAAAAAAGAGTTGGAAGACTATTCCAGTAAGCCTGTTACGAGCGAGAAAGAAGGACAAAAAATGAGGAGCTATGGCAAAGGAAGAGAAAAAGTGGAGGGAAAAGAAGGGAGGAAGGAAAAAAGGAAGCAGTTAAGCGACACTGATGAAATCAAGCAGAGGCAGAACGAGTTTGTTTTATCCTTCCTGATTTTTCGACCACTTACCACTCCTCGTAGCCCAATCGTAATTCAAGATTCGTCCGCGCCTTGGTAAACCAAATCAACCTGAGCCACCAATAGAGTTGCGGTAACTGAACCTCACCCCTTATGCTTCTAAACTACACTATCCCGACTGGATCAAATGTGCAGATCCCAGAATTACCTCAAGCAAAGATTCAAGATTTGTCAAGCATCCGTTCTTCACTAGCACGTTTCATCAAGGCGCTCGAACAACCTCGCCGCGATTTGCGCGCGCCGATTGAATTCCCAACGACACTGAAGAAATTTCGAATCCTTAACCAGAGTGAAGGATCACTATCGGCACCAAAAGCTACAGGAACCTTAAATCTGCTCAATCAATTTGGTATTGCTGAACCAACTCTTCGGAAATCAGAAAACTGGAGCAGAGAATCCCTGAATACCCTGAGACATAGGACAGTATTAATTTTTACATTTTATAACTGGAACATTGGACCATTACTGGGCTAGAGTCCTTGCAACCTCCTGCTCCACAACCTTATCCTCCAGGACCATTTTGGATCTAGATCCAGCAGACTATGCAAACCTGCTCTCCGATAATGCTAGGTACCACTGTGAATCCCGTAATTTAAATCGCCTAGTCTTCGTAGACCTTGACTTTTATTGCTGAGAATGAGGTCAGAGGCAATGTACAAACCCCAATTTTGGACCCTGATGATAAGATCCAAATCTTACTTTTCCTAAACCACTTAGACCACTTTTAGATCTACCTACCCAAGGTAAGAGCTATTCGAGAAACCTCTTTGATAACCCTATCGGATCATAATTCTATAACCTTGAATCTGTCGATCTCGACAAATTCAGGAACAGTTGCATGGTTTAACTCACTACTCCCCAAATGTACCACCACAACCTCCTCTTGCAACCAGAGCATATAAACTTCTTAATGTATGCTACACTAGTACCCATCTAGCACCATACCTATTTATTTTCTATTTTGCTCCTCGTCTAAACCACCCAACTTTCCTAGCCAACTCAGGAGAGGTTAGCACACATCATCACTCACTGTATTTCATGTCTTTTATCCCTGTTCTCGTTGCCTTATGCAGATGGTTCATGTACCACCTGCACCAATAGTAAACCCATCGGTAGCTCGCTGCAAGATGGCAGCAGCAATCAGGAAACTCAGGCTACCACAGTTTGAGGGCTCCAAACAGATTCTCATCCACCACAAACTGGCAAAGTTCTTTGTACTTTACTCCAAGGAAGCCTCTCTCGCAGACCCTGGATCGGCCAACCTCCTGTGATTCGTCAACTGGGAAGCAGTTACCTACTACACCAGCCAAGGAAGCTACCACAGTTCTCTCTTTTTAAACCAACTCGTCATCTACCTCCAACAACAAGCAATCAGCTAGGTTCCGATGATTGGTCAAGAGGAAGTCACTGTCTTTTGGCTAGTAGATAGATGTGTTGGGCAACTGTCCTTAGCAATCGGTATTCGACCCTGACTTTCACCAACTCTTCCACGGACGTTACCACCGGAAGAACTTTGAACACGCCGCAAGGAGAAAACCTACTCACCACCCTCACTGTAGATCGTCAGTTCTCATCCCATCTGAAACCACTCAGACATGTTGCTTTCCTTACTCTGGGTTTCGCATTAGCGGAACTCCCCTACCCACCAACCAGGTCATAAGACAAGAGGATAATGAAGATCAATGATATTAACCATTTCTGAAACTTTCGGGGTAATTCATACTTCCCTTCTGCTTTCCACACCACATTGATTCATCTCCTCTCGGAAATACTGGCCGGATTAATAGACTACTGTTTTGAAGCAGCCCGTATAAGTATCTGGTTCAATAGCGGTCAAGGAGAATGAATGTCTTTTGTCATAGATAACTCAAAATTTGCCATCCCCACAAATCCTGAGACCGAAAACTCTGATTAGGTTCTTGTACGGTTGAGAAGCAGGAAATGGACCTGGTTGAGAAAAATTCGACTTTGAAAATGTTTTCTATAGCATGATATATGAATGAGTTGAGGGCACTCCCGACACTGACTAAGGTAGGAGCCTTGTAAGTAAGGGTCCCGGGGTCGTTTTTGTCATGAGCCTGCAAACTCCCTCTTCATTTTTAACTTTGTCAAAGATACTTAAGCCACCTAAGTTGTTCAAGCTTAGAACTCAAGTTTCAATTTTGCTCTCAAAGTTACTTTAAACTCTACTTATAAATTCTGCTATCAATTTGAATGGATGTGCTCAATCCCAATCTCACTCTAGATGAGTTCAAGTTCTTACTTGATTAAAGGATGACCTCAGTATCTAATTTCAGGCCACTAATGATGTTTTAAGCACTAGGGAAACTTAAATCAGCCACTAAAAAAAAAAGAAAAAAAAGACCCTCGGATCCTGAAATTTTCAAGGTGACCATTTGCCCGAACTCAATCTTTTCTTCTGCTTTTTCTTAATTGATTGGAATGTCAGATGAGAATAATGGTCCCTTTTTTCCTTAATCCTCTTAACTCTACCAAGGTTATCAGCCTTAAAATGACAACCATTTAATCACAATTTTTGCTTCCTTAAAAAGCTAAAGTATGAGTCAAGGAAGGCATGGAATAATGACTGTATCTCATTGTGGTTTTGACCGGTTGAATCTCTCAATTCCTACAGGACCTGACCATGAAACATCTCATTTTCAACGCTCTCATGTCGTAGTTGGTTGGAACATCTTCATGCCTTTGATGAACCCCTCCCTCGATATAGTAGAGGGGAAGGTCTTCGAATGCCTCAATCCCCAAGAAAGAAACCCGCAAAGATCCATCTTTCTCGTCAACCATAAGGGCAAGTTTTTTCCAACTCCTCCTCATCTTCTAAGGACCTTGGACCCTTTCTTTGTCCAAAATTATGATTCGGTGGTCCAACCAGGAACCTCTTGGCCAATGTCAAGCGCAAGAACTTCGACACTAACTCTCACAGTCTCAACTATCACCACTCCGGAGAAATCTCTGATTTCAAGAGAGGAGGCTGATGAGAGAGAGTTCATATTTGTTAATTAATCTGAACTCTCTAGGGTAAGGGAGATTTTATCCTCAACCATCAGAGAAGTTTCTAAGTGTCAAGCGGCCGCAAATGGGATTAAGGCGCTACAGTTCATTTTTGACCAACCTCATTGGTCAAGGCACCTCAACATCCTTATCAAAGTCAGCCAGATTGAGCTCAATTTCAAACACGGCGATAAAAAAAAAACGCATGCAGCTGCCTTTAAGAATGCACTAGTCAATCTCCCCAAGAAGTTCTGCGACAAGAGAATCGTACAAAAAGTGAAGCAGTTGTTTAAGTTACAAGAGTTAGAGACTTCTAGACTTGGAATGGATGAAATCAATCAGGAATGGGACGATCGGGAGGTCAAGGCAGCCTCTTCGAGAGGAGGGTAAGTTGCCCGAGCGGCTTACACTAGCCCCAATCGCAACTCATATAAGCAGTCTCTAATTTCAGACTTGGAAAATTTATCAATCAGGCCTACAGAGGTAGTTATCCACTCCCCACACCCCTTA